CATACAGTTGATCATAGTTCCTGGGCTCCCTCTGATTGCATTAATAAGTTACAGTGATATATTGTTGCAGAAACTCTTTGAAATCATATTGTAATAATGATAAAGCAGATTTCATAAATAGACGTTAATTTGGTCATCTCTTGTGCATTTGCAGATTTAGATGTAGTGTGGTTAAATTAATAAAAAAACACTGGCCAATCACATTGCATATCACTAACCAACATTAGCTTTGTTCAAATACGGTTACTAGTAACCATTGTTCAAAGTATCAAACAGTTATGTTCAACTAACAAACGTTGCCAGCTTTATTGATGAAAATCACCATTGCCAATGCTGGGCTTTAACATTATCTATATGGCAAGGAACAGATCATTACGAATCATGTTCAAATCTAGTACGTCTGATTCGACTTCTTGTCTTGGAAATTGATGATGATGGGGTCTCAACTTTAGTTTGCGGTTCTTTGTCATTGCCATTTGCTGATAACAACTCTCTCAGGAATTTGAACCTTGAAAGGAAGGCCTTCCATACTATGAACCAACCTAGGGAACAGAATGAACTACATATCATTTAAATGAAATTGATTGATTCTCTGCAGATCCACGGTAGAGCATGCACATACAAAATAACAGCAATACACTAGCTTGGGGACCATTCCACTTTTGTGAAAAATTATGTATTTATATTGCAGTATACACACCAACCTACTTATGTACCCTCATAAATTACATGACTCGAGGTCATAGGGCTTCTGTTACTATGCTGTAATTACTTCCATGTAGTGTCTTTTGAGTAATAACATTTATTGACACAACACTTTACAGGAAGGGGTGGAAAAACAATAAGGCATCAGAGGAAAGTGAACAAACTAACAACACACACACACACACACACACACACACACACACACACACACACACACACACAAATAAATGATCTCATTGTGATATGAGTAATATACCTTTTCCAGTTCATAGAATTTTGAATGTATTTAGATAATATACCATATTAATCTCACTCCACTCTCTGTACACCCCGAGTGAATCTTTTGTGCAATCCAGCTGTGTTGGTAAACATTAACGTGCAAAGGTGAAGGCCAGCTAAGTTATTTATGCGGTAGTTTACAATTGTTGATTTCAGAATAACAAACCAGGTCAGTTCCCACACGGTTACTAAAAAAGAACCGTGGTTGCCCACCACTTCCAAAAATTAATAAAATAAAAAAGAATTACATTACCTATGAATACTATAAGAAGAACTACGACAAAAGAAATCAGCAGTAATATGACTGCTAATCCGATCTCCTTCAACATCACAGAATTATACGTGTTACAGTCAAGGATTTATAATATTTTGTTGTGATGGGTAATCGGATGATATGGCGGGTCAGATCACGGAGGCAGACTTCTTAAATCTTCAACTTAGACAATAACTGCGCGTAACTAGAACATTATAGCACGTTGGATGTTACGTGGATTGTGGAACTTTCTAAATTTGTACTCAATGGTCTGTAATACCTAATTTCTTAGTCAATTGTCCAGCATTTGTCTACTTATATGTGAACAACAGACATAGCACGCACCATTGTTGTCCTCAGTCGGCTGCTTGACATTTAATAGGTTACTTCCGGTACGGCGAAAAATAAGCCAATCAGGAATAGGGTACAGTTTTGTTACCAGAACAAGCCAATCATCGAGCTCGATACACGTCGACGTCTCCAACTATTAACAAAATGGCGCTTGCCAGTGTGTGCGGATTGCCTCAATTTGCTCCAAATTCTGGGTCGGTTTCTTCTAGAGGAGCTGGTTTTGAAGCACTTGACAATGTAGAGCCTGAATTTTATAATGAGCCGAAGTTCACTCTCCCACAAGTTGCAGATGTAAGTACACTTTTTTGTTTTGTTTAGTGTTTTTTTCTGTTCGGAACGATGAAGAGCATGACATTGCAAAACCAGTTGAAATTTTGACAACACAAGATTCATCCGGTTATATTGAATTATTTGTTGTATTACTTTATGAAACTGAGGCTCAATAATAATGAAAGTTGAAATTCAATTTCCAGACGTGAATAGGTTTGAAAGTAATAACTCTAAAAGCACCCTATAGTAATTCAGAGTACATGAACACATCTTTATTAATTTAGCGCTTGAAATTCAGTGGTTACATTGAAAACGAATACTAAATACAAGTTGAAATACAGGCACTTGCTATTTAAAGGATTAGAAAAATAAAAATATAAAAAAACACCTATGCTTATTGATGGTATTTGAATTTACTCGTAATTTTGTAACCCATGCAAGCCTAAAGCCCCAAGTTGGCAAGGAGAGTATAAATACGCATTTGAACATTAGGGATTATTTTCTTGCAAGTCTTGCTGTAGTAAACTGCTACAGCCAGCTTTGGTAAAGTCGTTTTCTTCAACTTAGAAGTAAATTATGTAGTACCAAAGTGGATGTATGTGACTATGAATATCGAAGCAGTGATTGTATGTTGTATTTGTGATAATAAATAGTATACGAGTTGAGATTTTGATGAATAAAGGTTAAAAACATGAACCGGTTAGAAGACGCACTGCTAAGCTTGAATAATTAACTGCTGTCAATCAATGTCACATGACTTTGAACCACTGAAACAGGGTGCATCGTCTAAAATTCACAAAAATTTACACAATTCCTAATGTGTTATCACATAATGGGCTCAAGGAAGACAGCGAAAATTCATTCAATGTTGAAAATAAATCATAAATGAAATCGAAAAAAGAATTTTCAACATGCTTTTCCATAGTAACTGGTTTATTGGAATTTGTAAAACATCACAAATGCACTTGTATAAAGCACTCTGTACCGATCACACTGATTCAAAAACAAAAATCGAAGAAATGCTGATTCCAATGGTGAAAATAAAACTTTTGATGAACGTACAAATGATTGAAAAGTCATTGCAGGCTGTATGTAAGGCCATGCTTATAGTAGTAATTTAATAAGGGATGACGAAAAAGGTTTTGCGTTGTTATTTTTGGAATATTTAATTCATTCATTTGTCAAGATACATAATTACATTGCTTAATTTAGTGAGAACAAATAGTCCGTCTCACTCTCTTACATTGTATTTTCTATTTACAGCCTGCAGAATATTTAAAACAATTTGAAAAAGAAGACAGTGATGTAAAAATTCGTTTCCATCATGGTACAACAACACTAGCATTTAAATTTCAACATGGAGTTATTGTAGCTGTAGACTCAAGAGCAACAGCAGGTCCTTTTATTGGTAAGGTTCTCAGATGAATTCAATGTGTATGTAGTATTGACATTGTATAGCATAGGTTTATAGTATTCTTGTCTTGACACAACGATAAATTACGATTAAACTACCGGTATTACCGGTACTTATTTTTTCCGTGCTGGTGCTTTGAGAAAATGTTATTGTACTGTTAATTGTATTCTGAAATCACTGTTACTGTATGTTGACTGGAATTTGCTATTCCTTCATTGTTTTTCTTATACTTGCACAGCTTCACAGACAGTGAAAAAAGTGATAGAAATCAACCCATATTTACTCGGTACCATGGCTGGTGGTGCTGCAGATTGTTCATTCTGGGAAAGAGTTCTATCACAGCAGTGCAGAATCTATGAACTACGGAACAAGGAAAGGATCTCAGTAGCAGCTGCATCCAAACTCTTGGCAAATATGGTTTATAATTACAAAGGAATGGGTCTCTCAATGGTGAGCATGTTTTGTTGAGCAAGTGCTCATTTCCTATGAGCTACCTGTTCTTATATTAATACTGTACAGTGTTCTCCCCAGGGTGTAAACAGCGTGGCGGTGCCGCCACAGTGCTTTGATTTGCTGCCACACCGGTCTGACACCGCCAGGATGATTAGCAAGACCGCCACAGTGCTTTTTTCCATTGGGGATCTCGTCACGCTGCTTGGCCCGACTGGCACTCAAAATTAGCAACCACCACGGAAACGCTTCTGACCAGGACTATTGTCATATTGTTATTATACTTGCGTACCGACCGACAAGGATCCTGCCAGTCGTGAATAATAATTTGTAAACAATAAACATAGTCGTGCGATGTGGTAGCGGCTTTAAACAATACAAGTCAATTTTGTAAAATTAGCACCTCTTTGTTTGTAAGTAAATATTTTCTGACGATAGACGCAGTCTTTAGATTGAAAGCTAAAATTCTTTTAAAATCAATTCCACCCCGATGTAACATGGGCAAAGCGGAGTTCACGATCAGTTTACGCTACTCAAGAAAAAACAACGTGTTTATTGCGTGATTGGGTAAAATACATTTGAACTGTTATCATCGTGAATCATGTAAAAACTCTTCTTTCAAAACTTGTTTTACATTTTAAAAATTGCTAATCACCTCTTTCGAAAACCATCATGCAATTTTCATCTGAAATCCATACCAACACATCGTGCTACGACATCGCTTTTTATGATCACGATCATTCGGAAAACTTCGGGTTCTACCTGCATTATCATGTGGCATTCTGATTGGTTAATGTCTTTTTTGATTCACCAGGTCAAAGGACACATGCGGTCAACTAACGCGTCACTGCTATCGTGGCGGGTCTGTGTTTTTCACCAAAGTGATCGAGTGATCAAAAATAATTTCTCCCGATAAAACTAGTTCAAATTTTACATTTTTTTCATATAAAAAAAAGTATTTAATTTTTGCATGGCATCATAACTGAGTATGAGGAATTATTGGTATAACCGGGGTATAACATCGCGAAGTAAGTTATGTCACGTCTTAACTTTGATGATCGTTTGAAAGTGTTATTTGTTCGTTCATTTACTGTAAATGTAAACGTTGTAGAAGCTGATGGTCGAAATAATAACCAGCAATCCGGAGCTCATTAATATTACAAAAGTGCCCAAAATAAAAGTGTTTATAACACTGTGAAGCAAATAAATATCTGCCACTTTGTTTTTAAAAATATATGATTATTGTTTGGGTGTAAATGTGCTTTGGTCAATTTCTATTATTATGTAAATGTTATGCAAATTATGTTGCCACAGTGGTTTAAATTCCTGGGGAGAACACTGCTGTATATATTATTCTATTTAGAAACTGACTGAAAACAATTGCTGATTACATTTCCCTAGTACTTATGCAGAAGAGCAAATGCACAGTAGATGATAGAATATTTCTTGTCTCAAAATTAGTGTCTTTAATATTGCATGGAATGGTCACAATCTCTTGAGTTAGATGCATAATCTATAGTGTAGTACTAATGAGTTGTTCATAGTTTGTTGTTGTAATTACCAGTATTACAGATTTTGTAGACATATCCAAATAATTATGTTGTTTTTATTCTCTGTTTCAGGGTACAATGATTTGTGGCTGGGATAAGAGGGTGAGTTGAAACTTGCTCTTAATTTACTTTTATTGATTACTTGTTGTTTCACATCATGTGTGTTTAAATTTGATTTGAATCCCCACCATCTTATTCATTTATGCTTAGAATGCAATAGTGTAAATAGCGCAACTGGATGGTTATAAATTTCAGCATGTAAATAGTTCAGAGCAAAAACAGCATTTCTCTTGCACCATTTTTCTTGAGTATAATATACTCAAATTCCAGCATTCTGTTGTGTACCCTATCTGCAAATGATTTCAAAAAGCGCAAATATACAATGACGGCATTATGGGAATACCGCAAAATTATGCACAAAGGCAGTACAAAATGTATCTAGTTTGATGTGACCCTGTACAGCCTGAATGCATACTTTGCAGTATTTTTGTGATAACTTGGTTGTTATACATTTTTTTCTTGCTTGTACACTTGTGATAATTTAGTGAGATAATAGCCCAAAATAAGAGCGAACAACTCTTTTATGGGACTTTATTGGCAAGTTTCTATATCAATCATTTGATATATTGTTGCATCCCTATTAAAGATAGGTTAATGGTCAAATTTGACATAAAATCAGCATGTGTAGTTTTCCACAAATAAGGGAAATTTCAAATGTTGGAATGAATACATTAAAATACAAAGTTCTATTGGTTTGTTTGAGGTACAATAATATTAAGTATCCAATCTCTCAGAATATAAATATTTTTATAACATAATATTTTACAGTATTTCCCTTTCTATTCAATAATGATGAAATGTAACAAATTTGATTTTTGTTTTGACAGGGACCTGGTCTTTATTATGTAGATAGTGATGGTACAAGGATAACCAACTATATGTTTTCTGTTGGCTCTGGATCTACCTATGCTTACGGAGTGTTAGATAGTGGATATAGATATGAGCTATCAGTACAGGAAGCCTATGATCTAGGTCAGAGAGCTATCTACCATGCTACCCATAGGGATGCATACAGTGGTGGTGTTGTCAATTGTAAGTATGCATGTACCTTGTGACTGCCATGCAACATCTCATATAGGTGTACATATTTTGTGCAGTGCTTTTATGGTATACAAGTTTAGACAATTGTCATTCATGACTCTTTAAAATTCAAACCCTGATTCAACATACAGTTTATAAATATACAAATAAAATCTAATTTTTATGAAAATCAAAAAATTTATTTCTATGACAATGTTGACATTGATTTTAAAAAAAACATCAAATTTTTAAAAATAAAAAAAATATAGTTACCTGTAGATTTATTTTGTGGAGGTAACAAAAATAACTTTTGGGTTCAAATGGTTAACGGGGATTACAACTTTGGTCTCCATTAATTTGTTTGATGTAGAACCACTTTTGAAATACCGTAAAATCTGTATTAGAAGCCGCATCCCTAATAGAAGTCGCATCCATTCTATTTGAATAATTGAGAACCAAAAATTCATCATTTCTCATATGTGTAGATGCTCTAATAGAAGCCGCATCCCCTCTGTTGTGTTGTACATTTTAATAGAAGCCGCGGTTTCTAATACAGATTTTAATACAGTATTATTTGTTTTCCTTTCAGTGTACCATATGAAAGAGACTGGCTGGATTAAAGTGTCACAAAATGATGTTAAAGAGCTACACTACAAATATCAGGATGAGAAAAACAAGAAATAATATTCATTATCTACATTTCTGTTATTTCTAAGTTGTTGTAAGGTTTCATTCCATGCTGAGAATCTCCACAAATAGCCAATATTTTCAGTTGCACATGACAATGGTTATTTTTCCATTCCAATAGTAGTAAAATGTTCTGTCCCTTTTCCAATAAATGCCATTTAAAAGCAGTGACAACCCACAGTTGATGTATGAGAAATCTAGCATTGATCAGGTTATGAATCAACAAAAAATCCATGTTCCCTGCTCAGATTTCTTGTACATGCTTGTAAATGTGTTGATGGACATCATTTTTGTATCATTAAATGTTCTAAGTTAAAACCTGTTTGTTTGTTATTATTTGTCTGCCATCATCTGCCTTTGATACATATGCCGTCTGTTCAAAGAAAACACCCCCCTCCAAGGTCTACTTGAATGACTCCATAGAAACTTGTGCTTTCAGATACAACTGCTATAAAACCTTACAGAAATGCTTTGTTCTAGCGTTTCACATCCTGGATTTGACTTTGTGACAACTTCACGTTGGTCATTACACACGCACAACCCCAGTTCATCAAGATTATGGAAATGAAACTTGTATAATATCTCAACTATAGTTCAGCAATTGTTAAGAACTAGACCATAGATCTATACATAATAATTGCTTAATGTGCATAAGAATTACATTTGAATTTCAATAGGATTTGGTATACACGAGTCTGGGAACAATGCTAAAGATCTGATTAGTTTTGGATTGAAATTTGGTTTATAGATGTTCTGGAGTAAGTGATTATTACACAGATCAAAAAATCACAGTAGTGAAAAGTCGTCTTTCAACACCAATCAACAAACAGCGAAATTGAAAACAATTAGCGATGTGCAAGTGCTGTGTAATTTCCCGATTGACCGACGCTTCGGTTTTCGCATCAAGTCATTACTACCTCTTGCATAACACAAACTACTAGTAAATAGTCTCTACAAATTGTTATTCAGGATCGCAAAAGAGTTGAATCATTTGAAACGCTTACCCAGACGTCTCTCTCCAGCAATCCACTTAGGTGAACATCGCTTGTCCGGAATCTGGTTCTTTAAAAAGTTAGATTAATTTTTCGGCATTTGTCTTTAAGTTGTTAGTCCCCGTTCGGACGCAGTCCGAAAACGGGGACTTATGTTTTGCCCTGTGTGCGTCCGTCTGTCCGTGCGTCCGTGATCACCTGTATCTCGAACATGCATGGACCGATTAAGTTCAAACTTCACTCATACATCACACATTATATGGGACATATGCACATGCATTTTTTTCATGATCCGATTAACGATAGCCGAATAGCGGCCATTTTAAGGCCGAAAATGCATCAAAATCGCACATTTTCACCATTCCGGACCCGGATCTCAGTTATGCATGGACGGATTTTGTTCAAATTTGGTACATACATTAAACATAATAGGACCTTGATGCACGTCATTTTTTTTTTTGGATCGGGTTCGAAATGGCCGACTGGCGGCCATTTTGTTTTAAAGAATTCAGTTCTGGATCCGTATCTGAGACATGCTTGGATTGATCGAGTTCAAACTTCACACACACAAGGTACATCATGTCACAAATATGTATGTGCATTTGTTTCATGATCTCATTAACGATAGCCAAATGGGGGCCGCTTTAAGGCCGAAAATGCATTGAAATCGCACATTTTCACCATTCCGGACCCAGATCTCAGTTATGCATGGACGGATTTCATTCAAATTTGGTACATACATTAAACATAATA